CCAGCGCTTGTACGCTTCCTTCTTTCGCTGTGCGATTCGTTGCACTTCCTCCATTCAGAACCATGCAAGGTGGAATCAGAAGAGACGCTGCCTCGCCTTCTCTGATTCCACCTTGCGCTTCAACCTGTACCTTCTATCGTATGATAACCTCAGCGGTGTTAAGCAAAGCCTGCTGGACTGCTCTGTCGGGATCTGGGATATGAGCCTCCACTATCTTCCATTTGAGGTCATTCTTCTCCGCTTGGTGCAACTTCCACCACCGGATTCTCCTCTCGGTTCTTACCTTTGTCTTCTTGGGGAGGTCCATGGCAATGTCTGCCAGGAGGGGCCTGTGCTGCGGAGCCAATTCCTCGCCAGGGAGTACCTTGATGTCCTTCACAGTTCTGAGGGATGATCTTCTTACGAGCACATGGTCGATTTCCGTTCGTCACCCTCCACTGCTGTAGGTCACCTTTTGAACCTCTTTTTTGCGAAGAAAGCGCTGCAGGCCGCTAGCTCGTGGGGGACCAGGTTCTGATTCTTTTTCCTCTATGTTCCTCACATTTATCTCTCTACCTAGTCCCCTTTCCAGACCTCTTCTCTCGCTGCCGATCTGGCCATTGAGATCACCTGCTGTGGTCACATCCGGAACCGACCTGATTGATTTCCAAGGCTAAGGTAGAAATCATCCTCTTTCCAGGACATCCGGCTTGTGGTGCGTACGTGAACAGTAATGTCCAGCACCCCTATTTCGGGTTCATCCGTAAATCCAAGTACAGCAGAGACTTAATCCTTGAGGACTCCGCTGCGGCCACGCCGTTATGCTTGGTGTCCTTCTCCACTGTAGGGTTTACACCTTCCGAGATTTCCCTGGCCTTGGCCCCTTTCCATCGTGTCTCCTGAAGGCATAGGACTTGGATTTTCCTGCGCGCCATCAGAATCAGCAATCCTCTCTTGACTTCCCAGTTAGCGACCCTACATTTAGCATTCCAATTCACCGAGGTCGTCCATTCCTCGGTAGCCCTCTCTCATACTGAATCACAGAACTCGGTCTAGGGTTCTGCCGCCACTTCCGGGTGATAGCCTAGCTTTTTCACTGATACATTTTGCGACTTTAGGCTATAGCTTTGTTGAGGGAGGTTTCATCAGCTGGTTTGTCCAACCTTGGCTTGATGTTGGCACTAGAGCCATGTACAAGCAGTGTTTTCGTCCTCCCATCCTAGTCTATTACCAATTACCCGACCCCGTAAGGATGGAAGACTGGAGGCCCGGACGATGTCACCCACGAATCTCTTTACACTGAAGGTCCTCTCTCACTGAAAGGCCTCTAGCCGGGTTAGGTGGCGAGGCTACGTGGCGCGACCCCAGGTGGGGGATAGGGGTAAATCGCGGACCAAAAGCCACCATGTACTTGCCCTGAGACGCAGGTGGATTCAGGGGATGGACTCCCTGTTTCTGTAGTGCTGTGTTGATTCATACCAGCTGTCTCCACTCAGGCGCATCCATGCATGCTTGCGTGTGTGGTGCGCTCTGTGTGTGTGCGGTTGGTATCCTGCATGTCGGCACAGCCAGGCTCTATCTGTGGGTTGGGATAGACGGCAAAGTAGTGGAGCCACGCTAATGTGTCCTGAGCAGCGTAACAGGGGCTTCTGTTTTTGGAATTGCGGCCTGAATCGCCTCCCATTATCAATGTATTCCAGCCAGCTTTAATGCAAGCGCTGGCTGTACTGGGAAATACATGGGAGAGTTAGGGAGAAAGTTTCTTGCCCCTTCTATAATATGTATATCAGTTTGATTGCGCACGCATCCCTGGGCTCCAATTGTATAAAGGGCCATCGATATTTTTATAGTGCTTACTCGTGGCAGATCCCGCCCACCTCAGTGCCACTTAAGATAGCACTTGGCCTCCCTTTCTTTGCCAACCTTTATGCACTTTTTCCCGGCCTCTAGGCCCACATCGAACCTCAATAGAATCTTTCGTGACAAACACACCCTACTTCGGCACACGCTCCGCCCACCATTGCCTGTTGGCCTCTCTTCCGTTTAAGGACTCTACCCACTTGTTTTCCGGTCTTTGGGAGCTCTGGGAACCAAAATATAAGTTCGGTGGCAAACTCCCCCATCAGCGCAAAACGCTCTCAACATCAACATTTAGCCTTCGCTCCTTCTCAAATCTTCTTTTTTTTTCTTCTCTTCGGGGCTCCTAAGTGAGGGGCTCGTCGTGCCATGGATTTTTAGTGGATACGTGGCGTCCTAGAAGTTATGCTCGCAATCTGGGCGCTCTCTTCGTTTTTCTTGTTTGCAGAGAGTTCCAAATACTTTGAGTAACTCATCTCGACTCTTGTACGACTTTTGTGATAACTGCATTACAGGGTTTTTCAACGGGGCTTTTGGAACATTTGAAATCTCGTCTTTAGGTATCCCATATTTGTTGACTGGCAAGTTTTCGAGTGGATCGCATGTCAAGTCGTCCTCCCAGCAGAGAATTGGAAGGAAATAAATGTCAGAAGAGAAAGCGTGGAGGGCAAGTAGATGTGCCTAGACTACTGAAGAGTCCTTGCAACAAAGCAGGTGATGGTTTTTACCTCTTCTATTGCAGGCAAGTGGCAAGTCCAATAGTTTCAGCTCGTCCTGTGAGCTATACTGTTTTCCTATGTGGATTCTCTGATAGAGAAAGACGTGAGCTCCGTAAACATTGCACAGAGGGAGTCGAAATTGAAGGAGGTTAGTTTGGGAGCGTTTTGGTGAACTTCATATTTTATTCTATAAATACTTTGTGATATAGATATTGTTATTCTTCAGCTAATATCAACATCCGTCACCCATGTTGTCGTGAAACCTCCACCGAGAAGGGATAAAGGCTATTTGTATTCAGCCTTGTATTACGCCGTTGTGTTCAGGTATTGGTTTTAAAGGCCAGGCGGTTACGCCTAGTTTGGAGGGGTTAGGGGTCCTCAATGGTACGTCAGTGGCGAAAGAAGCAGCGAAATCGGTCCAGGAAACGAGAAATGGGACCCCCTTTTGGGCCGTTTATTGCGGCTCTCAGATGGACTGCGGCGAAGACCGCGCACGCGTGGACGAGATTGCGCAACGCGTGCTGGGCAGCAAACAGCAGGCATGGCGCCCTAACCGCGCTGCGGCTGGCAACACGGCTCGCCCAAGCCACCGATGAATCATGGGGCGGGGCGGCGCATGGGGCGGAAGGGCGCAATGGTCCTGCTCAGCAACCACAGCACTGTTCGCAGTGCAAGCGCCACACATCGCTTCCTTGGCGGCCTGCTAGTTGCTCTGTGGGGAGCAGGTTCTCCGCAGATGTGAAAATTCCTTTTCGTACCCACTTCCTTTAAGCAGAATTCACAATGGAAAAGCAATCACTTTTCAAATTAACCTTGGGATGGTGAGTGGTACACTAAAGGAAGGAAAACCATGAGAAACGGCCCAGAAACCCCAGAAATGGCACCCCTTCCTTGCCCGTGTTTGATTCGCGCATTGATGCGAAGTCTTCATCGCTGTGCCCTATTCGAACACTACGCTCTCTCCACTATCAGATCAGTGGCGGGTGGGCGGACCCCGCCGACCGCGCCAACTTTGAGCCATGATAGGTCGCCGAGGTCAAATTTTTCCATGCCAATTGCGCGTCAGTTCGCACCCTCAGGAGGTCCGCGGGTCCCTCAACTAGGTGAATTACTCCTTCTTCGACCTTCATTCTTATCGTGGAATTCCTCCTTTAACACTCTTTTTGTCTGAACGCTACTCTTTGTTGAGGTTCGAAACAGCGGGCCTAAAATTAATTGAGTTGTCCTACATATTGAAAAAGTCTCCTGGCAGGCAGGCTTTAGCAGGCAGGCTTGGTCAACGGTATTATCAGTGTGCTAAAGGTTACGAAAATAGTATCAGTAGCAGCGTTGTGGGACCAAGCGTCTCTAGAACCTTGCAAACATTCCCACACACGAGGATCTTGATCCAGTGACACGTGTTAGAGGTGGCGCATTTAGCCACTGCGCTATTTGCCATCTCTTCGCACCACTTAGGGGCGCATTCCACGGTCAAAGAAGGGGAATTTACCTAGTGGGTAGAGAGGCAGACCCTAAGGATGCGTAACAACAGGCGATTAGCATCAAAAGATGCGCCCCGGTGATCCAGCATGGCCTTCTCTCTGGCGCAATTGACCGGGAACGCCCACCGACTATCAAATTACTCGCCGCAGATCTATACGCGGCGAGTGATTAGCGTTAGCGTTGAAAAAGGCAAAACGAAGAGTCTCATCAATGCGGAAATCAACGGGAAAGGATGGGGTCCCATTTTCTCGGGTTCCGGCCGTTCACAAATTATTATTCGTCATTATCTGCTTCATTATGATCAACCTATACCCTTATTTCCAACTAAGGGGAACCTTTCATCCGTTGCTAATTGCACCTCTCACATGATTATTTAACACTTTTGATAGCATCGCGGTTTTAGGTCTCTGACAAGGGAGGTCTTTCAGGGCAAGGTGCGCTTTTTCAAAACGGTTTTGTGCATATTGTAGGGACGCATGTAGGGAACGCAAAACCATGTTTCATTTTCGCTGAACGGTTATAGCAGTACCAAAAAAGAAGCATAAGGTACTGTTAAGGGTTCGATCCCCGTGGCGACTAAATTTTGCATTTGGGTTGGCGCCTACGGTTTGGTGCCAAATCGCGCGCTAAATATCAAAATCAGATGTCAAATTCATCGTCAGGACCATTTTGAAGCCAACAAGTGGCCGCCAACCTTGATTGCAAAATTTAGTCGCCGCGGGGGATTGAACCATCAAGAGTATTATTCACCACTTTTTTGGTACTACTAAAACCGTTCAGCGAAAACGAAACATGGTTTTGTGGTCCATACATGCGTCCCTACAACATGTACTAAACGTTTTCCAAAAAGCGCACCTTGCCCTGAAAGACCTCCCTTGTTAGGCCACGACCAGAACGTTTTTGCAAGCGCCGCCGCCGCACACCAAGTCTATGGAATTTGAGCTGTGAGTAGGCAATACTTAAAATTACATATATAATCTGGTGGTTTCAAAATTAATTCAGACGTAGTTGTTTCAGTAAAAACGCATATCTTCCCATATGAATAGGTTTGTATTCCCTTCTTATTACTCCTTTTATAACCCAGATTAGTCCCCCGTCAACCGCCGGGACCTTCCTTTCCTGCGCAAGCTTTCTATCCTCCGCTATGGTCCCTTCCTCCTGTGACACCAACACCTCCTGGAAGTGACGCGTATGCAACACAATGGTGTTTCATACAGTAGAAGGGACACAATCATGATATGACGGTAGATTTTTCGCTTCCCTTCCTCATCCTCCCTTCCTCTCTCCACTGCCCTCCAGCTGCCACTGCAGCACCATGTGGAATGAACGGAAGTGTGCTAAGCAGGTGTTTATATAGCCCTAAGAGTGTTATCACAACTATCCTGCTACAAAACATTGATATCTCAAATCCTGTAAGCTACCCGATTTGTTAGCGGTTTGTTTATCCCATGAGCTTCCTTCTCACTCACTTCATTTTGCGGACGGACACACATACATACATACACACACACACACATACAGATACACAAACCGACACACAAAGTTAGCGCTTTATAAAATAGAAGGATAACGTAACACTTTTACGTCAATGAAAAGAAAACGAGGAATGAATTGAACAGACATATCCGTAAGGTCTGGAAAACGTCTGGCAAACTAAAAAATATTTGGCCTTTCTGTGAGCCATGTGGTTTTTGAGTATGCTAATGTATGACCTATAGAATGAGTACAAAGACCTTAGGAATAAGTCGCACAAGCGCAAGAAAAAGGGATGACTTGGGTGGGACGCGTTACCGCGTCACAATGTCCCACGAGGTGCGCAAAGTGGGACGCGTTACCGCGTCACGCTGTCGTCAACGTGTTAATTTGTTAATGTTTTTGAAGCCTTCTGTATCACCATATGACATTATTCTTCAAGGCGCATGGCTGCTTCGTCCGAGTTGGATACTGTCCTCCAAAGACGGGATTGAGCCCGAATCCGAACATGAAATCTCCTTCGAAGACGATGGCTCCTATACAGCCAAGTTCAAGGAGATACTTTTGTTGTATGTTTTTACTGCTTGCTTCTTTTCTTTGTTGCATACACACACCAAATAAATAGATTAAGGAAAACTGTACCATAAAAATTATGCTACAGTTTCCTTGCCTATTTATTTGGTTATTGGTTGAAATTTTCGCCAATTTGTAGCCATATACCCTTGTCAGCTGTACAATGGTTGAATAAAAAAAAGTGTAGCCATAAACCGTAAATCTGTGTGATCTAAGAGATGGAGAAGTTATCTATTTAAGACAAGGAAGATCATGTATTTGATCTGCAATTCTGGCAAACTATTACATTGTATTTCTAGGTACAAGTCCTTCCGATCATCTCCTGAGGGAAGAAGTCGTACCATATTTTCGGCTGAAGTTTTTCGACGAGTTTTTGTGTTGACTGGTCGCACAACTGAAGGGAAACAAAAGAAAGCAGCTCTTCGTAGGTGAATTCGTTCACAGAACTCGTCTCTTGTTATTATCGCTCTGAAGCCAATGAAATATCTTTAAATGATCTGGCAACTCTAGGAGAGCTCTCAAAAAGGACAGTTGCCAATGTCCTTGGAATTAGCTCTCACTAAAAACTTTAATTAATCACATTAACATCTGTGGATATTTATGATACGACAATAATAATGTGCTTGCTTCCAGCCTCATCAGTGCTGGAGGAGGTTCTGTTGCTGCAGACGACTGCTGGCGCATTGTCAGAGAGAAGCCATGCAAAGCAGCCGGCCTGGTCGGTTGCTATTTCTGTTGGTCTTAGAATTTTATAGTCTTCTATGCTAAACGTGTACCCAAGATTTCAAAAATTCTTAAAAAATTTTTTGACTAACGCATAGCTTTCGTTAAATTAGTGTAAGGGTGCGTTATTATAACTCAGATAGATTTTCAGGAGAAACCTCCGAATTACGGGCCGCAGCAGTGTCGGCATCATATGCTGCCGACACGCCCACTCGTCCGTGATTGGCTACCACCACAAAGGTTACTGCGTGCAGACACGAGCCAGCCAGTCAGAGACTAGTGGGCGTGTCGGCAGCATATGCTGCCGACACTGCTGCGGCCCGTAACCCGAAGTGTTTCCTGCAAGTCTACACTGAAATGTTTCATGCTCCAAAGCTTAGCTTAGATCGGTATCAGGTGCCTTACTTATCTTTCATTTCCAGATTTCGGCGATTATAATTGGCAACGGTGAGGACTTAAGTTCTCATGACATCAACGTGGGTTTCGTGAAACAGTTATTAACGCAATGTGTGCCTATCCTGTACGAAGAAATGCTCTCTCAAATCTTATTCAATCAGGTCAGGCTTCCCTTTTATTATATGTTTCTAACAAGGGATGTAGAGTTCTATTGAGTATTAATATTGGGCCCGAAGGTCCGATGTTTCTGCAATCGACTTCCTATTTCCCTTGTAACAATGAATAGGAAGGAATTTGCCTATTATTCCGGTGAAACCTTATGGTTGGGTAACCTTATAGTTGAGGCAAATGCTAGTCTTAATTTCATTTGGCTCTTTACTGCTTGCGCTCGGTTATCGTAGATCATTTACATTTGATTAAGGTTGTGCCGAATTTGGAGATAATGATGACTCATGCCATGTATTATTGGTGCAACGAGCATCCGCAAAAGTTGAAGCTCTCCAGTGAGGATATCGAATGCATTCGAAATATTCAGCATGAATCCGGCGACGACGATAGCCAGGTGCTTTAGTAATCCTTATCCAGCTTCAGCAATCCTTTGCTTTATCTGGGAAAACTCGTGAAACAAAGAAACAACCGAAATGAGAAGAAAGTTCATATGTTTTGCGGATATAGACGCAGTGGGAGATTTGGAAGCGAGTTGGAGTAAATGCATCACTGATGTCTCATTCTAGTAGCCGTGCATGACTAAATTCTACGTTTTTTCCTCCTAGAGGAGTTCCAAGCACTGGCTCTTTTAGCTTCTGGTAGCATATACACCTAGCTAGTTGTTGCACTTTTGGTCTTCTGTTCACTCACTTTAATCCAACAAACATCGAAATCATAACGAAACATAACGTGTCGTCGGCTTTTTCGCAGTAGCCATATGCACCAGTTGCTTTGATAGCCGATATGTGGACTTTTCAACACTCAATCGCCTTCCATATAAAACGAAATGTGGGACCAAGCCGATGCACGACTCGGCATTTTTTGTCCTGTCAGACGAGTTTGTTATAAAGAAGCTGATCCTAGGGCGACGATAGCCTTGATGGGCAAGATTCGACTTTCCAAATGATTTAATGACTGAATAAGGACCATCACACTTTTGAACACAAATAATGCTTGCGCTTACAAACATATATCGCAGGACTCCCCCGTTTGTGGTGACCATTGCCCGAAGGATGTGAACTTTGGATGTAAGGAGGATGAATGGAGGATTCAGTACACCAGACT